TAGGTTAATAAAGTTAAGATCACTAAGGGATTAGGGCTTAACTAATTAATTATTAGATGGTGAATTGTTTGATCAATTGGGTAATTAAATATAAACATTAATCAATATTACAAGTGGGGATCGGAAATGTGTTAGAGTCCTTTACTGCAATAGCTTTTTACAATATTTTTCTCAAAAACCTTTTATTTTAAATTCTTCAAATTTCTCTCTGAATTGTTCATAAATTATTGAATAGTTCACAATTGTTACAAACACCGGCAAAAAAATTAAAATAATGTAATTAATTAAAATAATTACGCATTTAATGCTGTTTTGTTAAAAATTACACATCTGTTGCACAATGAGACGCCCTCTTTGGGCGTCACATGTGACGCCCCAGTGAGGCGTCTCTCTCCTAGAGAAGACGCCCCAGTGGGGCGTTGTAACATCCCCGTCTCGAGCCGGTTCAATTAACATACATATGATAAAACAGAAAACAGCGGAAGACTTAACTTACGAAAATACGAGTTAACTTTTTCTTTTTCTACTTTAATTCTTACTCGGGGTAAACGAAAATCGGGCAGAGTTTCCTCTATAAATCGGACAACCGGGGATTTTCCAATCCCTCTCAGAAGCATTTCCTGATAAACAGTTTATACAGCATAGTAATCCAGAAGTACCAGTCATGCAGATACAATCAGATACCCATCCATGGGCTCATGCAAAATATGGCTCCGTGCCACTATCCTAATCAACATGCAATCCAATACGAAATCATAAACTGAATAATACATCATCATATGACGTGCCTGAATACCCAAATGTACATGCATCCAAGTGACAGACATGTACAAAACATATACAGGTCATATACAAAATAAAGGATCAATATCGTGATCCATCAAATGCGGAAATACTAAAAGACATCAAACACTCTAAAAGGTATTAGCCTACAGCCACTCAAAATCCGATCTGTCAACTGCCTCAGCCACGTGTCGTGTCCCTGCCTAGTAAGGACTCACCGGGAATCTGGGCACCTAAAAATATGTCCCCAAAGAGGGGTGAGATTACAAATCTCAATAAGCTCCAGGTTTATAGAGAATTCTCCATACCCCTGGCTCACTCCTGCATGAAAGTCAGATACAGAGTATACAAATACAACATATAACAGATATCATAACAGAACAGAGCATATATCCATATCATATCAGAGATGTGCGTCGTCATTCCCAAGGGAGGACCCCAAGCGGAAATCAACGCACGTGTTCCCGAGGGAGTACCCCAAAGCGGAACCAGACATATCAGAGGCGTACACCATCAGTCCCGAGGGAGGACCCCAAAGCGGACATCCGGGTACTATACAATCAATGGCCAGAGATTGTTACAGAAATCATATTACAGAAGTCATATCAGAGCAAAATATCATGTTATCAAATAACTCTATGTGAATGCATCTATACAAAGCATCTAAATCACAGTAATACAGTCCAACCATAGTTCACTAACCATAGTGGAGCACTCAAGCAGGAAAAGACTCCTTAAACATAGAGCTTACCTCTTGAAGCTTTACCAATACGCTTACTTGTGGAACAAGTTACTTTTATCGCTTCAAGAGATTTCCGATCCTTCTCAATCCCTAGGCACACCTAGAGAATAATTTACAATGCATCAATAAAATGATGCAATACCATGATTATTTCATAAGCATACATTTTATCGCTTATTTTCCTTTCTTTATATTTTTGCCAATTCTATGCCAATACACAAGTCTAGACCTCTATACACCCGTTGGCGTTCTTTAATTTAATCAAGCATTTACTTAAGAATTTTTCACATAAATCATGCTATTTTTCTTTAAAAGTCGCGGGCATACCCTTAGGGACTCAAGGTATTTTTCAACCATTTGTCAAAGCATTTCACTTCTTAGCTCATCCATTGGTATATTAAAATGCAACACATTTTATTAGAATAAAATGTAACCAATATATATATATACCCCTAAACACCCTATAGTTCGAAACATAGAGCAAGTATTTGTAGGATTTTTTTCTAACTTTGGGTTGTGGCCACCAACAATTTCCCTTTGTACTTTCCATATAAATGTGTTCCATCAATTTGGATGACGGGTCTGGCAAATTTGAACGCCTCACAACACTGTCTAAACGTCCAAAAAATGCGATGAAAAACCTTTTTTCCAGAAACTAAGCTCTGCTCGGCATAAAGATCATTAGTTTGTATATGATAAAATGAACCTGGAGAAAAGCGAAGCATGTATTCGCACCACCTTGGTAAAAAAAGCATACGATTCCTCCTAATCACCGTACAGAATTGCCATCGCTTTCTGCTTCGCATACCACGCCTTTCTGTACGAAACTTGAAAGCCATATTTAGCAGTTATCCTTTCTTGCACCAAAGAGATTGACACAGATGGTTCAGACTTTATCATCCCTGCATTGAAGAGGATATCAGTGCCTCGATAACATCGAACGAATTTAATTACACATTTGTGGTCAATCACACATTTAAAATACAAAAATGTACCTATCACGAGATCTGCAATAACGTCCGCATCAAGCTGTCTATGACCCTGGGAAATGTGCTCATTCACACATTCGTGTTTTCCACCCCATCTCGTTATTTTCCAATTTTCACGAAACATCGGTTTGATCGCCCTTACGCGCCACGGACAACCTTGATCGTACGCACAACATTTCATGGACAACTTTGCAGGAGTGCTCTCAATTACAATGGCTTCTTGATGCTCCCTAATAAGGTTGTGCTTAAGTGCCATTTGGACATCTTTTTTTGTCGCAAATTCTTGATTGACAAATAACATGTCACCCAGTTGCCACGGACCTTGTATTGAAGCCGATCCAGACACCGAACCATCAGTACATGATTCTTGTTCGCTCTGATAACTCCAATCAATGTAAGAATAATGCGGAATTCCTTCCCAAAAAGGAATAACATCTGTGTCACCTGCAATTGCGGGTTATAATTTTTTAATACGAACTTACTACTAATTCAGGCAACATTAAATCAGTTATTTATTCACGCAGTATACAAATGAGAACAATTACCTTCTTGTGGAATACCAAACGGAGCAGACGCAACGTCATTCAACTGCGGCATTTGCGCGACGACTGGTTGATGGAATATTGGAATTTCAGACGCACCCATCTCACGAGATTCATCTCCTTCTGAAGCACTAGCATCCTCCGCCAGAAGATGTTCTTCCATTGCCATATTTTCATCGTCATCTTCGTCGTGCATTTCCCAAGTCGGATCATTTTCATCTCCCTCAGAAAAGATACCAACTGGAGACGCATGAGCGGCAGGAGAAGCTGGAAGACGGGGAGAATTTAAATAAACTGACCTTACCGGTATGCGAGCATTCTCCGTTGCAACGATGTCGACATACAACTCTAGAAAATCTGTCCTTGACTGGTTGCAAAATTCTTCCATTGTCATCTCCAAGTCTTCATCGTCAAGCACTTTCAAACTAATGTATTTATCACCTTGCCACACCCTTGTCGTGATCTCAGTGATACATTGGTTGTCTTGAAGACTTAACTTCTGCCGAATTCTCTGATGCAATTCGCCAATGGTTGTGTTGCGTTGGATACGTGTCGGCCTTTTTTCACCTTCGAATATGACACATCGTCGACCTTCTACCTTCCTACCATTGTAATATAACACAACACGAACAGAATCAGGATTTGAACTCATTTTTAAATAGAATTACAACTAAAATTCAAATACTAAATTAAAGATAAAGGAATGTTGGTGGAGAAGAGAGATATGAAGAGTGAGAGAAGATGTGTGAATTGAATGGAGGGGGTGAGGAAATATATAGAGCACACATGTGACGCCCAAAACTGGCGTCACATTGTGCAGTAGATGTGTAATTTTTTACGAAACAACATTAAATGCGTAATTATTTTATTTAAATACAATATTTTAATTTTTTTGCCTACAAACACCATTACTTTCAAACCAACTCTTGTTCATCCATTCTTAAAAGGAACAATTAATTGATATTCGACCCAATCCTGTGAAGACGATACTTTACTTACTATTATATTACTTGTGCGATCGATACACTTGTCGATTTTTCGCAACAAAATTCAGCCTTCCTAATTGTCAAGGCTGACCGATTTGGACTAAACATGAGATTAGACTTGAATTTTTTTTTTTTTTTTGGAAACATTAGACTTGAATTTTTGAAAACGCAATCTGTATTTTGGACGATTCAGCAGCCAAATTTGACATCTCAATCTAAAAGAATATCTTTATGGCAGGAAATAATCCAAACTAAAAATATACCAAAATATCGTAAAAACGTAGAAAGTTTAAAATTTATATTAATTAAAAAAAATTATATTAATTCAATTTATGTGCCGTGATTTACGAAAAGAAAACTGTTTGTCAGTATGTAAGTAATAAAGCATGTACACTTTGGGCTTTATAATTGCTGTAGTTTTTTGTAAAAATTACTTTGGTACATGTATTTGTTGTACTTTTGACTTGCATAATATGTGTTGTAATTTGGAGTTTAGTTTTATTAAAGTAAAAATTTATTTTAGACGAAAAACGTATAGAATTTATTTTCAATTATCATAAAATCCGTACGCATGTATAATACGTTATCAAATTATTAAAATTTACTCTCTAATTTTTTGATTAATAATTATAACCATACACTTTTTTCATTAAAAATATACTTGCACAGAAGTAATGATAATTTTTCGTTCCTGATTTATATAATTTTCACAAATTTTCTTCTTTTTTTCCTTTTTGTTTTTGTTTTTGTAGTTCATCGCAAATTTTCTTTTTATTAATCTCATAAATGAATTTTCGGAAGGAATTCCAGATTGGACGGCCAGGATGGGTCAAGAATGAAATGGAACCATGTGCTCCGTCCGTCGTGATCCACGTAAAGGTGAAATCCACGCATCCAAGCGGAAAGATCCTTGATTCCGCCACGTGCCCAAGGAGGTGTACTCCTAGGCGAGGTACGCGAGTTGCATCCAAGACGAAGAAGAAAATTGTAAGTAAGAAGAGGAAGAAAGAAGAACAACGCCGACGACGATGAATGTGGTGAATGCGTTGATGGTGACTCGGTTGCTGACTCGGGACCAACTCGTCGGCCATGAAGAAATGCCCTTCGGATCGGTTTGGTGGTTCGTCTATGCCGGGATCTCATGTTTCCTCGTCATCTTCGCCGGAATCATGTCCGGTCTAACCCTAGGTCTCATGTCTCTCGGACTCGTCGACCTCGAGATTCTTCAGCGCAGCGGTTCTCCTACCGAGAAAAAGCAAGCAGGTTTTTTTTTTTTTTTTTTTTTTTGTGTGGTCTTCGATTCCAATTCGTTGACTTTTAGCGTCGCGTTGATCTTATTGGATTATGAAACCTCTAATGATCAATCGTCAACGTGCTTTTCATTGCTAACCATGGAGTTGCATATAAGATTTTGTGTGTGCGTGTGTGTGTATGCAGCGGTTATACTTCCTGTGGTTAAAAAACAGCACCAGCTTCTTGTGACTCTGCTTCTGTGTAATGCTGCTGCCATGGAGGTAATTGAATTGAAATTATCGTTTTCATATGAAATTTTCATTATAAGTTAGAATAGCATGTCCTGTTTGTTGAAGGAGAGGTTATTTCATTCCAGTGCAAAGTTTTCAATGAGAAATCACTCAGGAATGAGGACTTCTAGGAAAATAGCTTCTTCCAAATAGTTCCTTGTGCTTAAATTAAAACGAGACTGTGTTACATCAAAATATGGATTTAGCAGATTGGAATAACTTATTTGAAACGGTCATGATGATTGGATTTGCTCTAATTGCTGAATTTGCTTTTTCAACGACAGAGGCTTTGCTGAGTGACTGTGTGCGTATTTATGCTTGATATTGATTGTGTATGCACTCCAAGGTGTTTCCTAATCATACCTAACTTCTAAACTGCTGTTGACTTTGAAACTTGCAATTTGCAGGCCCTTCCAATATACCTAGATAAGATGTTCAATCAGTTTCTTGCTATCATTCTCTCTGTGACTTTCGTTCTGTTTGTTGGGGAGGTATGTTATTGTGCCATTTTTCATGTTTATGTGGTTTGGCGTTAACATTTGTACCCAATGAATATGATGAAGTCCTTTTTAACCCCCTCCCCCCCCCCCCCCCCCCCCCCCCCCCCCCCCCCACACACACACCCTTCTTTCTCTTTTTCTATCTCTCTTACCTTAAACTATTTTCTCCTCTCTGATTTTAGGTTATTCCACAAGCAATTTGTAGTAGATATGGTCTTGCTGTAGGTGCCAACTTCGTATGGCTTGTGCGAGTTTTGATGATAATCTGTTACCCAATTGCTTATCCCGTCGGAAAGGTGATTTATCATACATAAGTTAAAGTACCAGTCCTTCTAGTATACGAACTGTGATGGGGTTGATTTATGCATTATCATGTAAATATTATATTTCTTTCCATTCTATTCAGATAACCAGTATAATGTGATTGAGAAGAGAACAAAAAAGTGGAAAACTGGAAATTAATAGCAATAGCATATCATCTCAAGATTTTTCCATGAAACTTCAATATGCAAAGATTCATAGAATAGATGTATCATGGATATACAAATTAAGGTCTTTTTCTAGTATTGCCTGGTTTAGAATAGTGTTTTAGTAGGGGTTATCAAATGAGCAATGTCATATATTCATAGGCATGCCTTTTGGATGAAACCCAGCTCATTAGTGCTTTGTCTTTTCTGACTCAAATAACCCTTCACAATGTTGATTCAGATCAACTTATAGAATGACTGGTGAGATTGGTGAAGTTATCATGCCGCAAGGGTTTCTTTTGCTCACTGATATTTGTTCCAGGTTCTAGATTGGCTGTTGGGACATAATGAGGCTTTATTTAGGCGAGCTCAGTTAAAAGCTCTTGTCTCAATCCATGGCATGGAGGTATGAAAATAATAGAATATTATTCTTGTGAATTTGTATTGTGATTTAATTACAGAATGAGTCATGTCAAGATTGTTGAAGTTATCTAAATATTACCGTTATAGTTATAAGTTATTTGTGTTTAATTAACAAATGTGGAATTTTCTTGTTTTCAGGCTGGGAAAGGTGGTGAGCTTACGCACGATGAGACAACAATTATCAGCGGAGCTCTGGATTTGACTGAAAAGGTAGACACCACAATTCACCTTCCGTATATGTTGAATGTCAACCTATTTATTACTAATTCATTATATGATAATACAATACAATTTGCAATTTATGAGATTCGGTGCATTAGAGTTTGAAGTTTTTTCCTATTTATAATTTCAATAAACATTGATGATAGTGGAATGTGGAAACATGTGAAGGTTGCTTAATGAATCTGGTAACAACTGCTAACTAGTTAGTGTCTTGTGTTTGGGGATCTAGGAATGGTCAAGGATTTTGGCAATGGAATGGGGAACTGGGGTATATTAAATGCTTAAATATTGTCTTATTATTCTTTTTTATGAGGCCTATCAAAATGTCACTCCTTCTTGGCGTGAATTTGATCATCCACTTCTAGTGATCTTGTGTTCTCAAACTCATACTTTGTCCTTCATACTTGAGTTTTCTCTGTATTTTACCTTATTATTAATTATCATGTTGTATGGTGTGACTTGTGTGAGGCATATTTTATGCATCCTTTTTGCATTATACTTCTATACAAATTTCCTTGCCCCATCCCCTTATTAATTTTTATCTTTGATCAGACTGCTGAAGAGGCTATGACTCCAATCGAATCAACTTTTTCTTTGGATGTTAATTCAAAATTGGACTGGTGAGGGTCTCATTGCAGCTTAGTTTATCTTCAGTAAATTTTTCATTTGAACCGAACTTGCATTTTATTTTTCTTAGTTTATTCCCTTGCTAAGAGTTAAATTATTTTTTATATGAAGCAATACTCTATTGCAGAGATTATTATTATGCTAATTATTGGGATTTTGTGATAAATTGTGGTTTTTTTTAATGATGTAAATGTTAGATTTTGGCTGAATGTTTAAACTTTGAAGTATTCTTCCCCCGTAACTCATTTCATCCTTATCTTGTTCAGTACTTGCTGCCTCATCATGTTTTATACTTGAAACATGCACGCACACACGCACGCACGCACACACAAAATAATTAGTACAGACTAGCATATACACCCTTTCTATGAACCACAAAGTTTGTTGAGGAAGACTGAAGTGTTGGACGGACAGATAGAGTAGAACAAAGCATAAGACAAGACCAAACCATATGGACAAGATGCAGGAAATCTAATATATGAGTAAGTCAATTGGAGATTGCTAGGGCACAAATGTTAGAATCAGTATACAAAGCTACAATCCTTCATTAATGTGAATGTTCCTATCCAGACAAATATTTCACATGTGGCCTCAGCAATGTCCTTCCTATTTCCTAACTGTACTGCTCCTATATCTGCCAGACATCCTCCTCATTAATCCAAATGCCAGCCACTGATGGACACATCACACAAGTGTCCGATAACAGAGAATTAAGAGACCATAATCTGAAAGTTTTTTTTATTTGTTGATATACATACTAAATTACCTTCCTGCAAATATTGATCAATTTAACTGACAATTGTTTGTTTAGTTGGCAGTTGAGCAACAAATTTGATCACAGCTTATGGTATTCTTTGATAGGTTGTGAATAGTTGATTGAAATTTGTTTAAAAAATGACTCTTTGATCATTTGCTTACTTTATAAGGATTTTTTGGTTGCTGAAGATATATTTTCCACTGCACCAATTACTAAAACATTTGGAAAATATTTCTCAAGATATCTCCCACAATATAAGTAGGACATAACTTCACTTGCAAAGTATATGTATTCACTCTTACATATTTTAAACCCTTAAACCTATTTATGTTGTGAATCTCATATCAGGGAAGCAATGGGGAAAATTCTTGCACGTGGGCACAGCCGAGTTCCTGTCTATTCTGGAAATCCAAAAAACGTTATTGGGCTTCTACTGGTGTGTTTTAAATCTTCTCCATTTTGATTTTTTGTTAGTCTTTCCCTTTTTATTACTTTCTGAATTCTCTCTTCCTCACCTACATTATTTTTAAATTAGGTCAAAAGTCTTCTCACTGTACGACCAGAAACAGAGACCCCAGTCAGTGCTGTTTCCATCCGTAGAATTCCACGGTGTGTTTGTTGTAAAGGATTAACTCTCCTCAAATATTTAGTTGTTAAGTGGAGACAAATAAGTGGTTTTTATATCTTTAACACATACCCTTACACAAGAGCCTTTGACCTTGAAGCAGGGAAATTATTTTGGCTCATTTTACCTTATGGTGAAATTTAGTTTATTTAAGAATTGGAGTGGTAAGGATCGAACTCCTAACTATTTGGTCATATAGCTTTACCATGTCAAGAAAGTCTCCGTAGAAGCACATGAATAATTTATGATTATTAATTTATACTCTTGTTATTTTCATTCAAATTTAATGTCAAATATCGGTAGTTTGTGTAATGTTTTATGTTATATGTGCAGAGTTCCAGCAGATATGCCTCTCTATGATATACTAAATGAGTTCCAAAAGGGCAGTAGTCATATGGCTGCAGTTGTTAAGGCTAAGGGAAAAGGAAAAATGACTCCACAAACAATTGATGGAGAGAAACATGAGGAAAACAAAAGGGTTGGTGGGGATTCACAGTTGACTACTCCGTTACTACAGAAACATGATGAGAAGTCAGAAAATGTTGTTGTTGACATTGACAAACCTTCAAGGCCTCCCAGCATTAATAAGTTAACTGCTTTGCAACATAGTGATGCGACAACAAATGGTTCCATTTCAGAAAATATTGAAGATGGTGAAGTGATTGGGATTATCACTTTGGAAGATGTATTTGAAGAACTTCTACAAGTAAATTACAGTGATTTGAGATATTCCCCAAACTATAGTAGTTAGTTCATATTTTTTTGTTAATCTCAAGACTGATTGTAATTGTTTCCAATGTTGCAGGAAGAGATTGTGGATGAAACAGATGAATATGTTGACGTTCATAAGAGGTAATGAAGAGTATAAACTTTCAACACTTGATTTGTAGAGTTGGATGGAACTGCCGTAAACCTGAATTTGAATGTAAATTTTATTTTGCAGAATACGTGTGGCTGCAGCTGCAGCTGCTTCCTCAATGGCACGGGCTCCATCAATCCGAAGGTTGACTGGCCAAAAGGGAGCAGTAAGTGAACAATTATTACATGTTTCTTAAGAATGATCATAATGTCTATTTCTTGTTTGCAGTGTAAGTCGTCCTTTTTCTTTCTGGTTGAATTAAGAATCTTTTTTAAGGGGGATGTATGCAGGGGTTTGGGCAGTGCATCTTTAGTTCTTTGTGCATGGTGTACTTGTCATGCAACTGTAGATGATCTGGTAAGGCATTGCATAAGTTTTAGGACATGAATTAAAATGATTTATATATTTATTTACTTTTTCAGTAAAAGAAATGATTTATATATTTAGTTTTAAATAGTATAGACTTTTCCATTAAAAGCTTCAATCTTAATGTAGGACAGAAGAATTAATGAGAATTTAACTGGGTTCAATTATGAGATTCTTGGTATTCAAGTCCGTTTACGATAATTCCAAATTTATATTCCAGAAAGGCATTACTTATGTCATAGTCTCGTTTCTTTTAAATTTCACCCATTTTTTGTAAATTATTCAAGCATAACCTTTTGCCTCTGAATATGCATCATGGAAGTGAAATAATAATGTTAGTTATACATGAAATATGCTCCAAGGGAAATTGAATTGAAAATGTGATAAATGCTGTTCATTTTTTTTTTTGAATAATTTTTATATATTCTGATAAACAGCACAGTATTTTCAATGCTGATTTAATGGTTCCTCTTTCTTTATGAAGAGCAAGATTGATAGGAGATTTTATACAGTTGCATACTTGCTCAGGGAACGTGTGGCTTCTGATCAATGAAAACGAACTATCAGTACATTACATACTTGCTATATACTTGCACAGTGTATCCATGGCTCTTGATCAATGAAAATAAATTATCAGTATATCACACATGCACGCATACCCATACACACTTGCAGGATTGCACCTACGTGCACACGCACACATAGAAAGATATTTGAAAAATAAATCAAGCACTATGAAAGTATGTGAAAATTTGTACTCTCTAATGTGAATCTTAAGGAACTGGTTCTTGCTTGTTATGATACCTTGTTCAAGCATATCAATTTTCAGCTTAAGCCATTTTGCTTAAACAAGTAGGCAGAGGAGTCTCATACGGTACATTTTTTTATGGTGAATTTGTTTGCGGTAGTGTTATATTGACCCAAAATGCTTTTGTCACAAAAGATCACACCAATATATAGGCCATGGATGACCTGCACAGGTAATTGATTTGACACTGTTAGAGATAAAATGGCTCCTCCTACGTAACTGTGTTCCTTTTATGAACCTTTGGCTATGCAGCATTAAGTTTCAGATTCCCCTCTCTGACACTTCGTAATTCTAATAATTTGAAGTTAGTTTTCGTAGCCTCCTGGGATGAGTAATATGTATCATGTTTCAAATTTTTTACACCAGAAAATGAATTTTTGTTTTGAGAATGTTTTAACTTTTGCTGCTTGAAAGCTGAATCTGCAAATCCAGCATAGATGATAATTTTTTAAATAATGATTTCTGTGCTTTTTGATTTCAATGATCCAGGGGGGCCAAAGTAAGCCAGCAGTAACTCCGAAGAAATCTTCAGGGGAGGATGTTGTGAATACTACAAGGTTACAATAAACTTCTGGTTAATCTATCTGTAATTTTTTTATTTTTTGAGGGCCTCATAGTGAGGCTATTATTCGTACTTTTTGTATCAACTATATCTATATACTGTTATGCCAAAGAGAGTTGATGTAAATGTGATAAATTCCGCGTCTCATTCTCAGTCATTTTTTATGTATCTTAATTTGAAAAAGTTCAAATTTAAATTAAATTTTATCCATAACTATTATAATATATATTAGCTCTTTGGATAATAATTTATTAATTATTCTAACTTCTAAAATTTTAAATTAATCAAATATAAGTTTACTTATTTTACTATTATAATATTTTTATGTATGTTCTTTATGATTATGAATAATATTTTTAAAAAATAAATTAATAGTTCAATTAAAATTGACATCATTGATTTCATTTTGTACAACTGATAATATTTTTTTTTTGAATCGTATTTTGATCTCGATAACATAAATAAAATTTTAAATTATTATTGGTTTTATTTTTATGTAATTTTTAACATATCTCTTGTTTATTTTTATTTTTATTTTTAAAATTTAAAATAAACACCCGATAATAAATTGGTATAATATTATTAAAAAAATGACAAACATAAAATTATTGCTGTCTAATATATATTTTAAATGTAATTATAAATGAAATTTAAATTAAAAAATTGTTATTTTATTGTTTGTGCTCTTTTTATCATTATGTTAGTAATTACAAGGAAATTAATTTAGTCATATCGATATAAAAGTATATTATGTTTCGAAATGACAAATATTTCCCTTTTTAAATGTATTTTTCACAATATTTACAGGTTTGAAGGCGATGCTTAAAGATAAAACGTCATAAGAATATTGTTCTTAACTTTATTTAGAATAGTTTACATAAATTTAGGGATAGATAAATATTTTGTAATGATATAAGAATTTTAAAGCTATTCCAATTTAATTATGAGCATGGTTATAATTACAAAAAATTTTGTTTATAAATTACATTATGTATTACGGGTAGTATATATTATTTAAGTATTACTACTTGTAGTACATAGTGTAGTTTGTAAATATAACTTATCCCTTTAATTATTATTTATGTATTTTTTATTTTTTATTTTTTTAATAAAATCAGACGTTAAACTAATGATCTTCAAAAGAGAAAGCCTTGAAGCCTTTTTCAGTCATTTGATATTATTTAGATTGTTTTAATTTCATTTTGCAAGAGGAATAAACACATGTATTGTTTTTTTGGTTCTCAATAGTACCCTTCAGTCAATAGTCGAATATTGATTCCCGTCAACTCTGAGACCACTAAAGCGGGTATAGTCTTTTCTAACAAAGCATTTTTCATATACACAATCAGAAATGGAATCTCTATCAATATGCTTAAGTGCCCAACTAACTACCAATTTGTGCTCGATTTTGTTAGTTGTATTTTTTTTTTATAGTGCAAGCTTATTGAGCTAATTCGATGTCCATCTCTGCTGCAACTTCGAGCTACAATGTTTTCTACATCGAAACTTTTTGGGCAACATTAACCGCAAAAGAAGTAACCGATTTTCCATAAAGGTATACTTAAATTGGATATTAAAGCACTTGACATATAATCTCAAGAGGTGGTATAGTTGGTAAGCCGGCTGTGCCAGCAAACCGTTGTCGTTGAAAGGCCACTGGTTCTATTTCTAAGGGAAGTAACTTGGGGTCAATGGTAAAAACTTTTGATTTCTAGGCGAAACATCTTGGGGTCGGTTGTAACTGGAAAAATATTTCAGTTTGGAGAAATAAATAATTGGTTTGTATTTTCGATCTAGTTCAATTTAGTTCAGAACTGGTTCATAACAAGTTTAATTCAGTTCAAAACTGGTTCTCAATTGATTTTGAACTGGTTTGGAATTAATTTAGAATTGGTTTTTAAAATCAATTCTGAACCCAAATGAAAAGTACAGAAAGATTGAAGGAAAATAAAAAGATAAAAATAAAAATTAAAGATAAATAAAAAACTAAATAATAAAGAAAAAAGAAAACAGTAAATAAATAAATAAGAGAAAAGAAATAGAGGCAAAAAGAAAAATAAAAGACAAGAAGAGAAGGAAAAAAAAAGATTGGTTCATGAAATTGGTTTTTAAAAATAGTTCAGTTCAATAATCGATTTTTTGAAAATCAGTTCAATTCATGAACTAATTTTTTAAAAAAAAATTAAGTGCAATGCAATTCAATTCTTTTGAATTTTTTTTGCACATCTCTAAAATTGATTTTTGAACCAGTTTCAAACCCAAATGAAAAGTATGAAAAGTTTGAAAAAAAATAAAAAATATAAATGATACTAAAAATTTGAGAAAAAAGAAATAAACAATTAAAAAGAAAAATAAAATAAAATAAAGCAAAAATAATGATAAATAAGAGAGTAAAGTACATAAAAAAAAAGAAATAAATTAATAAAAATAAAGATAAAAGACTGCACTAAATAAATAAATAAGAGACGAAAAATATATAAATAAAAAAGAAGAGAAGAATAAAAAAAAATGTTTCATGAACTAGTTTTATTTAAACTAATTTGGTTCATGTACTGAGTTTTTTTTTAAAACTAATTCGGGTCTTGATTTAGTTTTTGAAAAATAGTTTGATTCTTGAACTGACAGTGAATTGATTTTTAAAAATCAGTTCTTTTAAATATAGTGCAATTCAGCTCAAAGTTTAATTCAATTCTTTTGATTCTTTTATGCATCCTACTTTATTGTTAATGGGTAATCCGTCGATAATGTTACAAGAATTTTTTTTTTCCTATAGAGACAACTTTTTGTGGGATCCATGCATTGTTTTTTCTCTTTCTTTATATCATTTTCTCTCCCTTAAAATAATATTGTCTCTGCGGGACAATATTTTTTTTCTCCATGTAACAGCACATATGCATTCCTCATTGTTAATTTGGGACATGTTGTTAGTTATCTTGCAAGATATGCCTGTTATCTGAGTTGTTGGATTTTTTTCTCTTTGTTTGAATTGGACAACGGACTTAGACTTAGACTTAAAAACTAATGAAATCATAAAGTTTGTAGAGACTAGATAACAGTTGAGTTAAATTTGTTTAAGGGAAAGCAGAAATTGTGTTATTTACCACTATAGTAAATGGGAAAGGATATTGTGATTACCAAGTTGTGTTACTATTAAGTGACTACCAATCAATCTCACCGTTAGATCGATTATGTTGATCCAACGGTTATATTTATTTCCATCTTTGTATGGTCATGATTCCCCATATTTAAAGTGAAAATATTAAATATGGGAAATCATAACCATACAAAGGTGAAAATAAATATAAAGTATTAAATTTGGGAAATCATAATAATACAAAGATGGAAATAAATATAACTGTTGGATCAATATAATCGATCTAACGGTAAGATTGATTGGTAGTCACTTGGTAGTAACACAACTTGGTTGTCACAATATCCTTCCTCATAGTAAATAGCAGTAGGGTTTATTACATTGAGGGATATTAATGAGCCGGGCTATGTTTTGATCTTGAAAGATTAAGTCTGTATTTAAATATGTTAGTCTGGCCTAACCTATTTTCTATTATGAATATAATTAAAGATTATACTTGCAATCTATTTTCGTTTATAACCTCTTACAATTATATCTTAACCGTTGATTTCTGTCAATCAATAATTATTATTTTCACAAATCAAACTCATTAATTAATTATTAATTCGCAATAAATGATAACCATTGATTGAAAAAAATCAACGGTTAAGATATAAATGTAAAAAGTTATAAACGAAAATAGATTGTAAATATAACCTTTTTCTAAAAATCTGAGACAACAAACTATCCAAACAAAATATACTATCAACAACATTAATAATTCTACAACGATTCATAAATGCAATGTATATCCAAACAGCATAATATAGAATGAAATCATTCAAAAAATATGTATAACCAATAAAATGAGGTGAAATGGGTTGAGGAGAGAGAGAGGGGAGAGACTATATAAGTAGTATAAAAAATATAAAATAAAAATAAAAGTTAATATACTAGGCCAGCCTGAGAGGCTCTAAGGCCGGGCTTTTGAATTTGAGCCTGAGACTTTTTTTATTAAACGAGCTTTTATAAAAGTTCAAACTTGATTCCAACAACCAATTTTAAACATGTAAACTCAGGTCTTCATGAGCCGGGACAAAGACCCCTGAAAAGCCTCTGATTCGTTTAGCACTCCTAATCACATTTATCCTTTCTATGAGAAAATTATTTCTAGAGTAAACGCAGATGTCATTTTCCCATTTATTTATGACTTTCTCGTTTGATATGAATATTTGACCCAAATAAAAATTTGATTATAATGCGGAACTTGATTTCTTTCTCTCTCTTTTGGTCACATGCATAATAAATTTTATAAATTTTTCCAATATTGTCATATATATCAATTGACTCGAGATTATTTATATATTTTTGTTCCTTTTTCCACCCTTTTTTTTCCCACCCAAATAATGGGAATATCTAAAAATCTGATTTTTCTAAAAAAATAATTAGGGTCATAATTTTTAAAAAATTATATATGTACATATTTTTTTTTTGTTGATAAAAATATAATTTAATATTTAAATTAATTTTATAAAGAGCATAAATAAATATTTTTCAATTTTTTCTCTTATTTATTTTTTACTCAATCTTTTCTTGTATTCTATTTAGGTTCATCAACCATTCACGATTCACCTTAGTCAATTTTGAATTTATTACATAATTACGAATGTTGTAATTTTTTATAATTAGTATAAATATTTCGGAATTTCCTATTTTCCTGTGTATTCCGAAATAATAGAAATACACGTGATATATTGATACTAAACCCTGGTGCATAAATTACAACTTGGGGGCATTATCGACCGGTTGAGGCTGTACCAAATACGAAAATTTTCATTACACACACTTGCGTGTCTCTCTCTCTAATAAGTCTTTTGGTGTATATGTAAATGGTAAATTTGGGATGGGTTGATTTGATTCAACCGAATGACGTAAAAACCTTTTGATTAAAATAGAGATATAAGTTCGAGTGTGGAATAGAGTAATGGAGAAAATAGTTTTGGAAAAACGTAACCGCTTAACCAGAGATCTCAAATTTGGGAATGAGAAAAATAATTTTGTGTGTCACAATAATAGGTGA